TAAGTAGCGGGTCCTCATAGAGGGGTTTGGAAAAGCAAGGACAACCTTGGCTGAAAGACCCAGAGAGTTTTGGCTCCTAAACCTTCCTGCCAAGCATCGTTCTTGCTTTGTTCAGAGGAAATCCCTTGTCAGCCATCCCAACTTTGTCAGTTAGAAAAGAAAGATTCTTGGATACATTGTTAACAAAAGTACACTTTGCTAAAGCCAAGCAGTTACACAGAAGCAAAGACGGATCTGAGCTTTTCGCGCTCAAAGTATGTGGTTAACTTTCCCCCCTATTTCTCCCTTGGTTAGCTCTAACCATCCAATTATATTCAAATGAATTGTTTTGGCAACAGTCCCTGGCTTGGCAGGGCTGGATGGTTCTGCATTCCACAGTGTGACCTTGGCACCTCCCACAGGAAGGCACAGAAAGTACTTTTTTTTTTAAAAAAAAAATTGATTTATATGCCGCCCTTCTCTGGAGACTCAGGGTGGCTTACAATGCGTTAATTTTTGATTCTCCTCATGCTAACACCCCCTTATATCCCACCCCACAATTCCTCCTCCCTTGTGAATGGCAGATGGGCAGCAAGCGAAGCCTGGCGTAGCAGGATGGCAGTCCCGGCAGTCTTCAGCACAGAACGGGCAGTACTTTAACGGGGTAGAGGTGGCACAGTGGTTAGAGTGCAGTACTGCAGGCTACTTCAGCTGACTGCTAGCTGCAGTTCGGCAGTTCGAATCTCACCAGGCTCAAGGTTGACTCAGCCTTCCACTCTTCCGAGGTGAGTAAAATGAGGACCCAGATTGTTGGGGGCAAGAGACTGTAAACCACTTAGAGAGGGCTGTAAAAACACTACGAAGCGGTATATAAGTGCTATGTAGAGCAGTGTTTCCCAACCTTAAGACACGTGGACTTCAATATATCTGGCTGGGGGATTCTGGGAGTCGGGGTCCACTAGACTTAAAATTTTCAAGATTGTGAAAACCTGGGGTAAATAGAAAAGTAAGCCAGAGTTTTCAAGTTTCATTTGCTTTATAGCAATAGAACTTAGCAATAGCACTTATATACTGGTTCATAGTGCTTTACAGCACTCTCTAAATCACTGGTGTCAAAGTCGCAGTGTCACGTTACCATAGCATGACGTTTCATGATGTCTTCCCCATTCGGGGTGGGTGTGGCCTACACGTGACACATCTGGCCTGCGGGTTGCCAGTTTGAAACCCCTGCTCTAAATGGTTTACAGAGTCAGCCTACTGCCTCCCGACAATCTGAGTCCTCATTTAACCGACCTCGGAAGGATGGAAGGCTGAGTCAACCTTGAGCCAGTCAGGATCGAACTCCTGGCAGTGGGCAGAGTTAGCCTGCAATATTGCATTTTAACCACTGTGCCACCAGAAAGAAGAATGACAAAGGGAATAAGAGAGGGAGGGAGGGAGGAAGGAAGGATAGCAATAGCACTTAGACTTATATACTGCTTCACAGTGTTTTACAGCCCTCTCTAAGCAGTTTACAGAGTCAGCCTATTGTCCCCCAACAATCTGGGTCCTCATTTTACCCACCTCGGAAGGATGGACTGCTGAGTCAACCTTGAGTCAGTCAGGATTGAACTGCTGGCAGTCGGCAGAATTAGCCTGCAATGCTGCATTCTAACCACTGGATCATGGCGGCTTCTTTATAGTCCTTTTTGTCACTTCCCGTCAACTGATCTTGCTAGGTGTAAAGCTCTGAACATTGGAATGCAACCAGGGTGGATAAAAATCAATGTTTTTTTTTTTAAATCAAAAAAATCAGATTTTTTTGATTTAAATCAGATTTTTTTGATTTAAATCAGATTTTTTTGATTTAAATCAAATTTATTTTAATAACAAACTTTTGGGGTAAAAATCTATCGTAAGATAGTTTTCTATTTAAGATACATAAATAATTTAGTTTGTTCAGCATGAAATGGAGCTTAGTTATGTAGCAGGAGGCTGTATATTCTGCAACACTGGGACTATCGGTGAGTCAACAGTGGGTCAAAGGAGTAGCAGAGATGACAGTTGCTCTTTAAAAATTATGATTTAAATCGAGTCGATTTAAATCAAGCCTTTTTACTGGTGATTTAAATCATGATTTAAATTGTGATTTAAATCAACTCGATTTAAATCAAATCCACCCTGAATGCAACAAAGCCAAGAGAGCTTCAGGTCCACCAAGTTCAGTTTAGAAGGATAGCCTTCAAGGGACACAAAAAAAACTTCAACAACACAACAACAACAACCCCCTTTGCTCCAGAGATATGTAGCTTACCCAAGACATTTGAGCCCCACCAACAATCTTGATGCCTCTCGATAGAACGGATGATGTGCCCGGAGCCCTTGTGGTTATCTTATCCATCAGTGTGTCCTGTTAGGAAACCACATCCTGCCAGCATAGAATCAAATGAGGGTTTGTGAACTAGATCAGGGGTCTCCAACCTTGGCAACTTTAAGCCTAGAGGACTTTAACTCCCAGAATTCCCCAGCCAGCTGGCTGGGGAATTCTGGGAGTTAAAGTCCGCCAGGCTTAAAGTTGCCAAGGTTGGAGACCTCTGAACTACACTGGATTCAGCTCATGAAGTTGAATTGTGACTTTTTAAGCTGTTGCTGGTGAGTGTGTTCTTTGCATCCGCTTCGCTACTCAAGGTGGCTGAAGTGCGCGGTGTGATGTCAGAAGGAAGTGACACAACGGAAGTAGCAACCGAACTAAATATACAGAAAAATCAAGCGTTTCCAAAGCAGATCTTGATGGGTTGGAAAGGCAGTTTCTGTTCAGTTGCTGCTTTCTGCGTCGGCCAAGAACCATGATTTTAAAAAAGGCAGTTTCCAAGTGGCCAGATTTTGCACAACTGCTGCACCTCCAAAGATGATTGATGACGCCTCCTGTTTGAGGGAACCTACCCACAACTTTAAAAAAAAAAACAAGAATCGGGCCTGGAATAAAAGTTGCCATTTGTAACAGAATTTTCAGAAGAAAAAGGCATTTCATAATCTTCGTAGGTTGACGGCTCCCTTCATGTCTTCCCAATACTTTTCTTTTTTTTAATTTATATGCCACCCTTCTCCGGAAACTCAGGGCGGCTTACAATGTGCTCAGCAATAGCCTTCATCCTTTTGTATATTTATACAAAGTCAGCTTATTGCCCCCACAAACTGGGTCCTCAATTTACCTACCTTAGAAAGGATGGAAGGCTGAGTCAACCTTGAGCCTTGGCGAGATTCGAACCTGCAGTAATTGCAGGCAGCTGGTCTTAATAACCAGCTTAATAACAGGGTGCCTTAGACCACTGTACTACCAAGGCTCTTTTACTTCCCTGCGACTTTTACTACTTGACCTATTGCCCAAATCCAGGCAGATTTCAAGTTACCAGAGCGTTCCTATAAAGGGCATTTCGCCACCCATCCCTAAGACGACAGCAACTTCATTCGTCTGGGGCAGGGGTCACCAATCTTTTGGACTGCAGGGACCACTAAATTCATGATTTTAAATCCCGTGCACCATTAATGTAGGGTAGGGTAGGGTAGGGTAGGGTAGGGTAGGGTAGGGTAGGGTAGGGTAGAGGTGAGTAGAGTAGAGTAGAGTAGAGCAGAATAGAATAAAATAATAGAGTAGAGTAGAATAGAGTAGAGTAGAGTAGAGTAGAGTAGAGTAATAGAATAGAATAGAATAGAATAGAATAGAATAGAATAGAATAGAATAGAATAAAATAGAATAATAAAACAGAATAATAGGATAGAATAGAGTAAAATAGAATAATAGAGTAGAGTAGAGTAGAGTAGAGTAGAGTAGAATAGAATAGAATAGAATAGAATAGAATAGAATAGAATAGAATAGAATAGAATAGAATAGAATAGAATAGAATAGAATTCTTTATTGGCCAAGTGTGATTGGACACACAAGGAATTTGTCTTCGGTGCATATGGTCTCAGTGTACATAAAAGAAAAGATACGTTCATCAAGAATCATAAGGTACAACACTTAATGATAGTCATAGGGTACAAATAAGCAATCAAATCGTATTAGGAAGCAATCAATATAAACCGTAAGGATACCATATGAATTTTTTTAAAAAGATAAATAGTATTTAGCTGCAATATAAAAAAAAAATGCAAAGAATTTTTCTGAGGACCACCAAAATTTTCTCGAGGGCCACCAGTGGTCCAGGGACTACCGATTGGTGACGGCTGGTGTGGGGCATCCTTTAGGGGCACCCAGTAGGGGTTACTGTACTTTGGAGAGGGAGGGGTGGGGAAAGGATGCGTTTTAAGCCTGCGCCTGAATGTAACATGTGAAGGGGTTGACTCAGCCTTCCATCCTTTCAAGGTCGACTCAGCCTTCCATCCTTTCTAAGGTAGTTAAAATGAGGACCCAGATTATGGGGGCAATAAACTGACTTTGTATAAATATACAAAAGTATGAAGGCTATTGCTTAACGCACTGTAAACCGCCCTGAGTCTCCGGAGAAGGGCGGCATATAAATAAAAAAGGGGGGGGCTTCGTGCGCCAGAACTCGGGGTAACCCACTCTGCCTGCAGTTCCCCTCTCCTCCTCCTCCTCGTCAGCCCTTAATTCGGGTTTACTCCAAAAAGGAGCTGCGTTTGGTGGGGAGGAGGAGGGGGGGTTTAACCTACTCGCAAGGCAGCAAAAACGCGAAAAGGAAGCGCGCACGCCTTGCGCAATCAGCCCGGAGGAGCCGCGAACGTGGGAACGGAGTGACCGGGCGGGGACGATCTCCTCCTCCTCCTCTTCCTCCTCCTCCTCTTCTCCATCCCCCTCCCCACGCCTTTAACCAGGCAAGCCAACCGGAGTTCCCCCCACCACCACCCGTGGGAGGGGTGATTTGCGTGTCCGGGGGCAGAGCGAGCTGAGAGCAACCTACCGGCGCGCCTCCGTGGAGAGGCAGCAAGTGAAGCTCCGAGGGAGAAAGCAGCAGCGGCGGAGGCAGCGGCCAGGCGAGGCGAGGCAAGGCAAGGCGGGGCGGAGGAAGGCGGGGAGAGAAGCGATGGCTCACGGCTGACCGCATCCGCGCCGGCTCGGCTCCGAATAGCTCGTTTGCTCGCTCGCCCACCCGCCCGGCCTCTCCATCTTGGAAGCGCTTCCCCCCCGATGGCGTTCAGCACCTCCTGGCAGCTGCTCTCGCCCGTCCAGTGGGCCAAGTGGACCTGGTCGGCCGTGCGAGGCGGAGGACCCCCGGACCCCGAGCGGGATGCCTTGGACGCCGACGGGGAGAGGGGCCCGGCCGAGGAAGAAGAAGAGGAGGAGGAGGACGAAGACAACACGGCGGCGCAGGCGGAGACCAAGTCGCTGAGTCTCAGGCAAGTCGGAGCAGCTGCCCTTGGGGAGGGGAGGGGGTCTTTTCACACGTTCCGCCAAGGCAGACACGTGTCAGTCGAGAGGGGGGGTCGCGGGGGGGGGGCGCTGGATGGGGCTGGGGACGCTTTGCAAGGGGAGAGGCGGGTTTTGCACCTCCGGGCTGCACCTGGGGATTTTTTGGGGGGGGGTCCTTTGTGCCAAGCCCCTCTTTTTCAGCGGGAGGGGGGTTCGGTTTACGCGTCCGGTAAAAGAGAAAACAAACAAACAAACGGTGAACAACCGACTGGCAGCGGGGTGACACGCGTGGGGCAAATGACACGCGTGTCTGGACGTCTTGTCTCATTCCAGAGTGGGATTTGTCTCATTCCAGAGGCCTGCCTGGCATTTTCTAACGCTAGCCGTTGTTGTGGGTGCACAACAAGCTAAACCACCAATCGTGGTTTAATAAGCCATCAGGATGGGGGAAACCCCAAAAGAAGCAAGTCACGGTTATGGCGCAATAAGGATGGCCTGTTCCTCCCCGAATGCTGTCTGTGTTTGCTTTCGCTTAGCCGCTAATCATGATTTAGGGGTTGGCCGTTTCCAGCTTTAGCCGCTAATCATGATTTATGGGTTGGCCATTGATTCAGGGACTGCTTTTATTTTAACTCTTGCCACATCTGGATATCGGCCTCCAAGCCTTGTTGGGGCCGCGAACGTGTCACCAAATGACCCTCTGCTGGGATTGAAGCGCATCAGGGTTACCAAATGTGGCTCTGGGCATCCCCCAAATATTTTATTTATTCATTTATTTATTGGTTCGATTTATAGGCCGCCCTTCTCCGGAGACTCAGGGCGGCTTACAATGCGTTAAGCAATAGCCTTCATACTTTTGTATATACCTGCTTAGTAGGGCTTTCGGCCCCCCCAAGCGGTGTTCTTTTTTATACAAAGTCAGCTTATTGTCCCCCACAATCTGGGTCCTCATCCTGGGACCCTCCTACAGTCTTGACATTTTCCTGGTCTGTTTTATCTTGAGGTTCAGTAGCTGACCCAGAGGCTGAAGCCAGAGTGGGACTTGGTGGGTGGTGGGTGTTTTCCCTCAACCTTCCTTGCCCTAACCAGAACAGCTGCCTCGGCAGTTCTAGATGATGGGACACAAACACACACTATACACACACATTGGTGCATCCAGGCTGCCACGTAATCTCCGAAACGGCTTTAATTGAGTCCAGAAGTAAATTCTAGAGAGAAGTGACTGTTTGTCTCCCGCGTGCCCTCTGCTCCTTCGATCTGCCAACGGGTCGGAGCCAAACTTTTTGCCTTTTCGACATCGTCGTTTTGGGGATTGTGACCCAGAGAGTTGATTCCTCGATCCGTCATTAACCGTCTCTGGTCATCTAGAACACGATGCAATTAGCGTCAAGAGCAGGGGTGAAATGCTCCCGGTTCGGACCGGATCGCCCGATCTGGTAACGATGGCGGCGGGTGGTTCGGAGAACCGGTAGCAAACATCCCTGTCCCTCCCCCCCCATGCCCAGCTGAGCCATGCAATCATCAGGCTTTTTTTTAATTTTTAACCTCTTCTGCCGAAAAAAATGCTTTTAAAAGTAAAAAAAAAAAAAGCCTCTGCTGATCAGGCAACTCAGCTGGGATCGCCAGAGGCTTTTAATAGCAATTTTTTTTATAAAAATTTTTTTGTAAATGAGCATAGGGGCCACTTACTAATCTGTGTATGTTAACCCTTCAATGCGCCTTGTATCATATAAATACAGCAACTAGTATGGCTTACTAGTATTGTTGTGTTTTTCAAGATTCGTGTATTGTTCAAATGTTTATCAGGTTGATTCATTGTTGATTCACCGATTTTGTTGGAAGTGCCAATAAAATAAATATGTGTTTAATTTTAGCGACCATTTACGTTTTTATTCCTGTGAGTAGTTGTCATAGAGGCCCCAGTACACTGCTTTGCCCAGGGCCCATAATGCTGTTAAGACGGCCCTGGCTTAGTTAATGTCCATTGGAATAGCGTGTTCATGCGTAACTAGATCCTGAGAGATGGAAAGCTGAATCCAGAGTCGAATCAAATGTGGGGTTTTTTTTTGAGGGGGGGTGGATTTATTTATCTTATAGGCAGAGGTGGGTTTCAGCAGGTTCTGACCAGTTCTGGAGAACCGGTAGCGGAAATTTTGAGTAGTTCGGAGAACCGGTAGTAAAATTTCTGAGTGGCCCCGCCCCATCTATTCTCTGCCTCCCAAGTCCCAGCTGATCGGGAGGAAATGGGGATTTTGCAGTAACCTTCCCCTGGAGTGGGGAGGGAATGGAGATTTTACAGTATCCTTCCCCTGCCACGCCCACCAAGCCACGCCCACCAAGCCACACCCACAGAACCCGTAGTAAAAGTTTTTGAAACCGACCACTGCTTACAACCCAGCGGGATCTTCTAGGACTCCTGATAGCTAGCAAATATAATATACTATATAGAATGTCCACAGTAGATATTAAAAGTAAAATATAAGTTCAAAACCGAAACCCCAAACCAGCGTCAAAATGAAACCCAGATGGCAAGCGCTCATAGTATCACTATAGTGGTGAAGAACTCCATCTTCGGCATCTTTCCAAATAAATACAATTTTTTTTTTAGGGTGGCATTTTGATCTCGGCTGAACGGTTATTTCAAAGAGCAGATTTTGTCCCAGAGAAGAAGCAACCTCCTTGTTTTGACCTCCTAGCTTTTTGGAAGTGACTAGTGACTCTGACTAGGTGGCTCAGTGGCTAAGACACTGAGCTTGTCGGTCAGAAAGGTCGGCAGTTCGGTCGTTTGAATCCCTAGTACAGGTCTCCTGCGTGAGCAGGGGGTTGGACTAGATGTCCTCTAAGGTTGCTTCCAACTCCGTTACTGTTACTTTTACTCCTATCAGTGGGATACGTCTGATAGTTTCTCCTGGGACAATTAAGTTGGTTGTCTTGATTCAAGTAAAAAGGTAAAGGCAGGATGGATAAAAATCAATGATTTTTTTTAAAAAAATCAGATTTTTTTGATTTAAATTGGATTTTTTTAAATTTAAATCGGATTTTTTTGATTTTTATCGCATTTATTTTAATAAAAAACTTTTGGGGTAAAAATCTATCGTAAGATAGTTTTCTATTTAAGATACATAAATAATTTAGTTTATTCAGCATGAAATGGAGCTTAGTTATGTAGCATGAGGCTGTATATTCTGCAACACTGGGACTATCGGTGAGTCAACAGCGGGTCAAAGGAGTAGCAGAGATGACAGTTGCTCTTTAAAAATTATGATATAAATCGAGTTGATTTAAATAAAGTCTTTTTACTAGTGATTTAAATCATGATTTAAATTGTGATTTAAATCAACTCGATTTAAATCAAATCCACCCTGGGTAAAAGTAAAAGTTCCCCTTGCACATACATGCTAATCGTTCCCAACTCTAGGGGGCGGTGCTCATCTCTGTTTTAAAGCCGAAGAGCCAGTGCTGTCCGAAGACGTCTCCGTGGTCATGTGGCCGGCATGACTCAACGCCAAAGGCGCACGGAACGCTGTTCCCTTCCCACCAAAAGTGGTCCCTATTTTTCTACTTGCATTTTTTACCTGCTTTCGAACTGCTAGGTTGGCAGAAGCCGGGACAAGTAACGGGAGCTCACTCTGTTACGCGGCACTAGGGATTCGAACCGCTGAACTGCCGACTTTTCAATCGACAAGCCCAGCGTCTTAGCCACTGAGCCACCGCATCCCTCTTTGATTCAAGTCGAAGAATGTGATTCTGTGTATAGCTCAGTGCCGAGTCCGACTGGGCTGTAATGGTTCATAGCGGCCTTTTGAACTGCACCTGGGAATTAATTAGAAGCCAGCGGAATGTGCTTCTGGTGAGCTATTATAAATGAAGTTCACGGCCACCAGTAGCATCCACAGGGAGGACGATGGTTAATAATGGGATGTAGCATGCACTGGAGGTGGGGGGGATTTAATTGCTTTTTGCTGCTCTGGTCCTGAGAAAATTAGCTTTCTGAAGGAGCCAAAAGAACTTCCTTGGAACAACCACAGCGAAGGAAACACACAGCTGTGAATGCTGCTACAATTCTGCTGTTCAAACAGGCAAAATACAAAAAGCCACAAATTTGCTCACACCCTTTAATTGATTAACAGAGTTGGAAGGGACCTTGTAGGTCATCTAGTCCAACTAAGCAGACCCTACACCATTTCTGACAGATGGCAGTCCAGTCTCTTCTCGAAAGCTTCCATGGATGAAGTTCCCACAACTTCTGAAGGCAACTTCTGTTCCATGGGTTGATTGTTCTCACTGTCAGAAAATCTCTCCTTATTTCCAGGTTGAATCTCTCCTTGTTCAGTTTCCATCCATTATTCCTTGTCTGGCCTTCGGGTGCTTTGGAAAATAGCTTGACCCCTTCCTCTCTGTGGCAGCCCCTCAAATATTGGAAGACTGCTATCATGTCTCCCCTGGTCCTTCACTGGTCTTTTATTTTTTTTTATTTTTTATTGCTTTTAAAAACAAACTTTATTCAATATAAAAAGATAAAAAATTATACAAAACGCTCTTAACTCTAAAAAAGAAAATACACTTCTAAATTACATATATACTAAAACTAATAAACAGGATTATCTCTCTATAATATTTAAACATATGAATATATATATATATATATATACATTAACCTTAATTTCTTAATGACGGTGTATATTTGTTACCTTTAATTTCTTACTGTATTTGACTTTAGTGGTCTTTAAAAAAAAAAATAGATGAAACTCAATTGAAATGACTAAACATTGTTTAAATTTGTAAACCGGCCAAATACTCTCTGTTCAAAGAAAATACATTGTATGTTTGTATGTGTGTTTGTCTAAAAAATTAAAAAAAAACTTTTTATATATAAAAAAAATATTGGAAGACTGCTATCATGTCTCCCCTGGTCCTTCTATTCACTAGGCTAGCCATGCCCAGTTCCTGCAACCGTTCATTGTATGTTTTAGCCTCCAGTCCTCTAATCATCTCTGTTGCTCTTAGATTGCTCTTGGTTATTCCTTGTTTTCCAACACAGAGCCCGTGAGAAATCATGTGCCTGATATTTCTCTTGTTTCCAACCTTCCCGCATTTGGATTTATTAGATTATTTAAAATAAAAACCAATAGAAAGATGCATGCATATTCTGGAGCAAAGCACCCACCTTCAGCATTATCTGAATTTCCTACAAGTGCCAATGAACCCATGTTAATACCATGTTTTCCCGAAAATAATTTTTTTGAACCCCGAAATAAGTGCTTGGCCTTATTTTCGGGGAGGTCTTATTATTATTATTTTTTAAAATTTGATTTATATGCCGCCCTTCTCCGGAGACTCAGGGCGGCTTACAATGCGTTAAGCAATAGCCTTCATTCTTTTGTATATTTTATACAAAGTCAGCTTATTGCCCCCACAAACTGGGTCCTCATTTCACCTACCTTAGAAAGGATGGAAGGCTGAGTCAACCTTGAGCCTTGGAGAGATTCGAACCAGCAGAAATTGCAGGCAGCTGTGTTAATAACAGGGTGCACTAAACCACTGTACTATCAAGACTCATTTTCGGGTGCATGGAGCAAGATGAGGCTCCTCTTGTAGTCTTACCTGATTTCCAGTTCTGCGTTTAAATATTTTCGGGGAGGGCTTATTTTTGGGGGGGAGGCTTATTTTAGTGCATGCACTCAAAAGCCCGATTGGGTTTATTCTCAGGGGGTGTCTTATTTTCAGGGAAACAGGGTATCTCAGGGGCATATTTAAAGTTGGGTCACTCCAGTTCAGTGCTCTGTTTGAAAGGGTGCCCGGGGGAAAAAAGGGACAGGTATGTTAAGGTGATAGCTAATACCTGAAAGGCGGTGTCATTGGAGGAAGGCATAACAGTTGTCCACAATTGTGGACATTGTGCAATCAAACCTTTTTTATATGCATCACAAGTATGGGTGCATTTTATTTTTTGAAACCCCTCTTGCAAAAAACGGTTCTTGATAACAAGCTTGAAAAGTTGTTTGATTGGTTGAAGGAAATAATCTTTTTTTTTTTCTTCCCTCTCCTCTCCTTCCTCCCTTGGCAGTTCGGATTCAGAAGGCAATTTTGGGACTCCAGAGGCAGAGACGCCAATCCACTCCTTGGGGAAAGAATTGGAAGAGCTGGATCTGGAACTGGAAGTCGGGCCCCAAGGTAAAACCACTGCTGAGGCTTACTTTTCCTTCCTTCGTTGAAAATGCACAGTGCATCCTGTTTCTCTTGCTAGTACTTTTGTGTGTGTGTGTGTGTGTGTGTGTGTGGCTCATCATTTGGCTCTGTGCATGGTCTAATAGGGACGAAGCTGTGTGTTCATCATATTTTAGCACAATCTTCTGGTAATTCGAGTGGAGCAAAAATCTGGGTTTTTTTTTTCCCTATCATATTTTGCTGTGGATGCGCTCCGCGAAAGAAAGCTAGGTAACCAGACGGACTTAGGTTGAGGGAATGTCCTTGCAGAAGTGTGAAATGCCGTTGGAGGCGGAGTAAGTCCAGTTCGCTGAAAATTGCAGTTTCTATTAATAATAAAAACAAGAAAGGTCGAAAGCAAATTGCTCGCCCTTCAGAGCTAGAAACCTTTGATAAACAGACCGTAGCTTTTTACGAAGCTTGGAACTTCAAGTGTTTATTATGTTATGTTGGATTTTCAGATTCCAGATCAATGGCGGTTTGAGTTGTGTTTATATATTTAGGCCTTTGGGTTCTTCCTTCTATAGCAGGAGTTGCCAACCTCGGCAACTTTAAGCCTGGCGGACTTCAACTCCCAGAATTCCCCAACCAGCTTTATTCCTAGGGAAACTTCGGGGTGCACACAGATGTTATTCCTCTGGGTCAGTGGTGAAATCTAAAATTTGTTACTACTGGTTCTGTGGGCGTGGCTTGGTGGGGGAGTAATGTGACTGGGTGGGTGTGGACAATTTTTTTTTTTTTTACTTTTAAAAGCATTTTTTCTACAACCTCTTCGGCGAAGAGGTTGTAAAAAAAGGCTTTCAAAAGGCTCTGACGATCCCAGCTGAGTTTTTTAAAAAGCCTCTGCCGATCAGGCAACTCATCTTGGATCGTCAGAGGCATTTAAAAGAAAAAAAGGGTTTTTTTCTTTTAAATGCCTCTGACGACCCCAGCTGAGTTTTTTAAAAAGCCTCTGCCGATCAGGCAACTCATCTTGGATCGTCAGAGGCATTTAAAAGAAAAAAAGGGTTTTTTTCTTTTAAAAGCCTTTGACGATCCCAGATGAGCCCCGCAATCATCAGAGGCTTTTTTTTTTTTACTTTTAAAAGCATTTTTTCCTGAAGAGGTTGTAGAAAAAATGCTTTTAAAAGAAATAAAAAAAGAGCCTCTGATGATTGTGCAGCTCAGCTGGGCATGGGGGGTGGGCAGGAATTTTTGCTACCAGTTCTCTGGAACCACCCGCCTCCATCGCTACCGGATCGGGCGATCCGGTCCAAGCCGGGAGCATTTCACCCCTGCTCTGGGTGTATATATAAGATCAGAAAAACGGAGCTAGGAAAGACTGACATTCCTTTGCATTCTGCCGACAAAGTCGCCCTTCGTTTCGATGCAGGTCACGTGCGGCAGACTGGTTTTCATCGGGATAAACACACCTCGCGCAGTCTAGGCGAGCTGGGGAGAGAGAGGATTGTGCGTGTCTCGAACGTGACAGCTCCCTTTGTCATTGTGGAGGAAGCGGATCTTTGCGGCTTTTCGCGCTTAAGCAAAACAACCAGGCGGTTCTGGGGAGATCTTTATTTAGCTCCTACAGTTGCTGCAGGAGGGTTACAACATCCAGGCCCTTGCCGGGGGTTCCAGTATCGCCCTGCTACAATTTTGCATCTTATGGAATTCTCCTTTCGCGCCCCTAAATCCTCCTCTCTCCCCCTCCCCTCCTCCGTCCTCTTGCCTTTGTAAGCATGAAATTTGTATTACAAAGAGAAAAACAGCGGGGATCTCACTGCTGAATTTGAGGCTCTGCAGAGCTATAAATTAAGACTGTGGAGTTGAAAAAAAAAATTCTGGCAGAATCAAAAGGCAAGCCATTTCCCTATTTTATTTTATTATTTTTTTTGCCACTACAAGATGCAGTAAACCTCTGTATTTTGTAAAAGGGAAAGGAGGGGGGTGCTTCCCCTTTTTTAATGTGTGCCTGGCCATCTCCTGATCAGTCTTCTGAAAAGATCAAGGGCATTATGAGTGCAAAATCCTGCCATGTGAATCCGTCACAGTCTAAGGGACTGAACAAAAGCTTTGCAATGCAAGTAGCAAAGATTAAGAAGAAGCTTGCCAAACAATTCAGATTATAGCTGGAAGGGACCTTGGAGGTCTTCTAGTCCAGCGGTCACCAACTGGTGGTCCGTGGACCACTGGTGGTCCGCGAGAAAATTTTGGTGGCCCGCAGAAAAATTATTTGCATTTTTTATATTGCACTAAATCAGGGGTCCTCAAACTACGGCCCCTGGGACGGATACGTGCAATGAACATTTGTGTCGCTGCAGAGAGTCTCCCCCTTTGAGGTCTTTTTATGTGGGTCGGAGTATACATAAAAGATACGTTCATCAAGAATCATAAGGTACAGTACTTAGTGATAGTCATAGGGAAACAGTCAATTTAAATCTTAAGGATACCAGCAACAAGGTTACAGTCATACAGTCATAAGTGAAAGAAGATGGGTGATGGGAACGATGAGAAGATTAATAGTAGTGCAGACTTAGTGAATAGTTTGACAGTGTTGAGGGAATTATTTGTTTAGCAGAGTGATGGCGTTTGGGAAAAAACTGTCCTTGTGTCTAGTTGTTCTGGTGTGCGGTGCTCTATAGCGTTGTTTTGAGGGTAGGAGTTGAAACAATTTACGTCCAGGATGCGAGGGGTCTGTAAATATTTTTACAGCCCTCTTTTTGACTCGTGCAGTAGACAGGTCCTCAGTGGAAGATGTAGGGGAAAAATAGCTTTCAGCTTGGAGGTATTCAGTTAATTATTTTTTATATATATAATTGGCATCCTTCATGCTGTAGCTTGCAATCTTCCACATTTCTAGCAGCTGCTTCTTGGAAAAGCTGTTTATTTTCTGTTATCTGATGCCTGCAGAATTCTATGGCAAGCCTGGGATTGATTCTCCGCAGCGTTCATTTTTCCTGGAAAAACAGCCACTTCTTAAAAACAATACAGGTAGTCCTCAACATACAACAATTCATTTAGTGACCGAAGTTACAGTGGCATTGAAAAAAAAGTGACTTATGATCATTTTTTACACTTACCGCCATTGCGATATCACCGTGGCCACAGGATCAAAATTCAGAGGCTTGGCAACCGACTCATATTTATGACGGTTGCAGTGTCCCCGGGTCACATGATCCCCCTTTGCGACCACCTGAGAAGCAAAGTCAAGGGGGAAGTCAGATTCACTGTAAAAGTCGGATTCACTTAACAACTGCGGCAAGAAAGGTCGTAAAATGGGGCGAAACTCACTTAACAAATGTCTCGCTTAGCAATGGAAATTTGGGGCTTCAGGAGGCTGTGAGTTCGATCCTAGGTAGAGGCAAATATTTCTCTCTCTGGACACGATGAGAATATATCGGCTGAACAAAACTCCGCCTTGGCAACAGGAAAGGCATCCGGCCAGTAAACACTCAGCTCCGTTCCGTTGCCCAGACTCCACCCCGCAAGGGATTATGCGGTCGTTAAAAGAAGATGAGTTGTAGTCGTAAGTCAAGGACTACCTTGTCCTTACAATCCTGGGAACGCAGCACTTTTCCTGGAGTGCCTCAATTGCATTCTTGCTTTGGGGATAAACCTTTAGGTGGCTCATGCTGAGAGAAAGCAGTTTAATGGGTGATTTAATCTGACTCTTGCTTGAAATTCTAATGGTGAGGCTTTGAGCCTGAGGGAGAGGCTGATCAGTGAAGGCAGCCCCAGGAAAGGCTCCTTTTCTGCTTCATTGTCATCTCAGCAGGCGGTTGGAGGCTAAAAAAGAAGGGACAAAGTGCTGACACTGTCAGAAGGGACGGGAGCTTCCCGAATCTGTCCTTTATTTTGCAAGACAGTTTATTCAGGAATAACCCAAAAGGTGCTTTTTTTCAAGAGGCAGTTGGACTTTCTTGGTTTTTTCTTTTGAAGACGTTTCACTTCTCATCCAAGAAGCTTCTTCAGCTCGGACTGGATGGTGGGGAATGGAAGGATTTATATTCCTTGCAGACAGCTGGACAATTGCATCCTTTTAGACAGACACGGACTTCAGAGGATAATTAGAATTGCAGAAAAAACAATGGCTACCAACCTGCCTTCCATGGAGGACCTGTATACTGCACGAGTGAAAAAGAGGGCTGGGAAAATATTTACAGACCCCTCGCATCCTGGATGTAACTTGTTTCAACTCCTACCCTCAAAATGACGCTATAGAGCACTGCACACCAGTGCACACAAGAGCCTTGGTGGCGCAGCAGACTAAAGCACTGTTAAGTAACACCAGCTGCCTGCAATTACTGCAAGTTCAAATCTCACCAGGCTCAAGGTTGACTCAGCCTTCCATCCTTTTGAGGCAGGTAAAATGAGGACCCGGTTTGTGGGGGCAATAAGCTGACTTTGTATAAAAAGGAACACCGCTTGGGGGGGGGGCGAAAGGCCTACTAAACAGGTATATACAAAAGTATGAAGGCTATTGCTAAACGCATTGTAAGCCGCCCTGAGTCTCCGGAGAAGGGCGGCATTTAAATCGAACCAATGAATGAATGAATGAATGAATGAAGAATGAATGAATGAATGAATAATAAACAAACAAACAAACAAACAAACAAACAAGTGGTCTTCCAGGCGCGCTTCAAGGTGCTGGTTATCACCTTTAAAGCGCTCCATGGCATTGGGCCTAGCTATCTTCGAGACCGCCTGCTGCTACCGACGGCCTCCCATCGACCCGTGCGCTCCCACAGAGAGGGCCTCCTCAGGGTGCCATCAGCCAATCAATGCAGGCTGGTGACCCCCAGGGGGAGGGCCTTCTCTGTGGGGGCACCTACCCTCTGGAATCAGTTGCCCCCGGAGATAAGGAGAATCCAAGACCTTAGCGCCTTCCGCCGTGCCCTTAAAACCCACTTTTTCCAGCAAGCCGGGCTGGCTTAAGAAGAAATTTTAAATGTTTTAATTGGTTTGTATTTTTAATTTTGGGCCAAATT